ACAGCAATGCCACACAGGAAGTGAATGACTGATTTTATCGAGGGGATTATTGACCTGCCTTCACCCTCAGTACTTATGTGTTGTTGCCAGTCAGCATGTGATGTCAGGACAGAAGAACGACAGACAGAGGTAGTGTAGTGTGCCTGATCTGGCAGTGACAGAGAGCATCTGTGGCTAGGAATCTCCTGCTGCTTTGAGTTTGGCCCCCAAAAAAGTGCAACTTAATTCTTAATATTAAAAAATTTAATGCAGGTTTTATTTTTCACAGAATTCCTTTCTTTTACAGACCACTGTGGGACCTTATAAATAACGCAATCCTGTGTAAGATTGACTGTTTTACATTCAGAGAGTTTCTGTTTTTAAACACCTCTTTCCAGCCACTCGGAATTGTAATGAATAAATTCCCTGGCACCTTTCCACACTTTAACCCTGTTCTTTACCACTTCCTACAGCAAGTAAGTTACTGTAGTGAAACTTCACTGTGCTCAGGTAGCTCTGAGTAGTTTCTGCAATACTGTTTGCTTGAATTTTTTCCGGTGATCCTATCAAAAAGATTTCTTCCAGAAAATAATATCTCGGGATAGATACAGAAAAGTTTTGGGGACAATGGCATGACAAACGACTGGTGGAAGGCGAACTAGATGGTCCTTGGTCTTCTTTTGCCCAGCAAATTTTTATGTTCTTAATTAATAACCCCTGTGTAAGCCGTACCCATCCTGTGCAAACCTTTTTTGTGTCTCTTGTAACACTTGACGCGGATGCCAAAACTGGTGGCTTGTTAGCAGAGAGCGACCAGCAAACATCTATAGTGGTGCTCTGATAAAGGGGCAGGTTGTTAACGTTATTTTGCCGCAAAGTTGAATAGAAATGCGGTTCTCTAAGCTCGGATAAGAGGTGGTGAGAAAAGCTGAAGTTAGGTCTTTATAGGCATGCTAAATTCGTTAAGAGTTTCCCCTCTTTACTACCTTTACTGCATTTGAAGCATCATTGTCTGTGTTGTCTCCTGTTTCCTTTGAGAACCTTTTTCTTGTTGTTATTCTTCCTGACAAAAGGGTGGCTGCTCTGGGGGGTGTGTAGCTGTTTTGAAATGTTAAGAACCCTCTTCAGTTCGGCGCAGAGCGGATTTGATCTGGGATTTGCACAGTGTCTACACAGAAGCCTTTCGTTATTTAGGAGCCTAATCCTTAATGTGCCTTCCCTTTTGTAAAGGACAAAGGCAGCATTTCGGGCTATTGTCACAACAAAGAAAAGGAGTTTCCAAACCATTTAATTCACTGTTGAATGTCTATTTTGAACACTTTGATTCTATTTTCACCAGACTCATTTTCTTTATCGATTTCCCTGCCTTTGTTTTCTCGCCTTTCACTGGCCCTGCCATTTGCTCCTTTATAAATTGCAGTTTCCTTTTTGCCTGAAATAACACAAATCTGAAACTGCACAGAAATCAGCAGAAAACCATCAAATCTGATTTTATGAAGGATCAGATTGTATTGTGTTCCCTTCTTTTACAATGAGATGATTTCAGAGCTTTCTTGAATTGTTACATTCCTCAGAATTGTTTGAAGTTACATTTCTTTAAAGGTTACCACTTGTGGACAAAATCTCACTCCAGTTTCAATAGGAAAAGCCTGGCATAAAGTACTAACAATCCAGTTAAATAGCTCAAGATTGAAATATTAGTTTGGGGATCAAAACCCAGTGTCTAATTAAAGCCTGCAGTCTGCAGTTAAAATAATACATCTGTATTTGGACATTATTTTGCCTTTTTTTGCCAATTTCCTCATTCACTGTTTGTGGGGGACGCTGCTGTGCACAATTGGCTGCTGCGCTTCGCCCACAAAACATACAGTCAATTCACTTTACTGTGTATCCTGTGAAGCGCTTTGAGACGTCTAGAAGACGTGATAAGGCGTCGTATCAAATGCAAGGATTATTATTATTATTATTCCAATTTCACCCTCTCCTGAAGGTGCTGCTTTGTGCTCAGGTTCAGACACTATCTTGCCTACTACGTGACTTCATTGGTGAGCCCAGACAATGAGCGTTGGCAGGCTATCTATCACACTGTCAGCCTGGCCTCACCAGGTATCACCCCCACCCCCCCACCCCCCCCACACACACACCTTCTAGCAGGTGGCATCTCTGGCTAGCGATCAGGGGCAGGAATGCCAGCTCTACCCTAACCCAGGCTCCAAGCGCCAATTGCAAAACAATAACTTCTGCCCTGTTAAGATCTGCTAACTCAGTAAAGCTGATCAAACTTTGGACCACTGCATTTTTTTTTAAGAAGTCCTGATCAATTTTATACTTCTTTCTTGACCCATTCAGGACTTAACATCCTTTGCTGTTTAAGGTTGTTGCAACGAGCGCGGGGTAAACACAAAGCTTTAATCAATAACCTAATCTGGGTACAGACACTTTTCGGTTCACTGTAGAATTTGTAGAATTTCGATGGACCAAAGCCTTCTCAATCACTCCCCATGTGATGGGGCACGAATTGGATTGAATCATTTAAATCATTCCGTTGAGTCAAAGTCTGCTGACACTCCAGGGCAGTACAGGGGAGCGTTAAAGATCCCATGAAACTCTTTGAAAAGAGAAGGGAGTTTCTTCCGGTGTTCTGCTCCCACAGCTAAAATTGGTCATTCACCTCATGGTTGTTTGTGGGCAAATTGGCTGCCTTGATTACCTACACATATACAGTCACTCCACTAGACAGTAAATCCTGTCAAGTGCTTTGAGACGCTCTCTTGACATGAAAGGCGCTGTACCAAATGAAAGGATTATTATTAATTCCAACAGACACTCCTCCGCCTACCTATCTGGGTCCTATTGGAATAAAAATGCAAAGCCTACTCTAACTCGGTCTTTCACAGAACCTCAAACTGCGGAACCCTTCACTTCACTAAGCCTTTTGGACCTCCTACAGCCCAGTGTTTTACAACACAAGGCTGGAATCACCTGCCATTGCAACAACATTTATATAGCGTGTCTGCCTGGCTCACTGCTAGAAGGATATGTAGGTTCAAGCTGGGACTTTGAGCTCACAGTCTAGGCTGACACTCCAGTGAAGTACCGGCTGTCTGTTCTGGTGGCTGTTAAAGATGCAGCAGACAGTTTGCATACAGCAGTGTCCCACAAACAGCAATGAAGTGAGTGACAGTATTTTATTTGGGGGATTGTTGGCCAGGACACTGGGGGAGAGAAACTCCCTTTGCTTTTCGAATAGCGCCCCGGGATCTTTAACATCCACCCGAGCAGGCGCTGGCCGGACCTCGATATAACGTTTCATCCGAATGACGGCACCTCCAACAATGCAACATGTCCCGTCACTACATTGGAGTGTCGTCTTAGACAATGCGAGTTCCAAATCCCAATGAGGGGCTTGAACCCAACAAATCTCGGACTCCGAAACGAAAGTGCTACCAACTGAGCCAGGCTGACGTACACACACCGACATGAAGACTCATTGCAAACGCACATGTTAACATGAAATATGTTTTGTAAGTTGTAATAACGTTCAATTTTCCTGTTTTCATTTAGATTCAATCTGCAGATTCAATGATTAAATGGCCTGAGGTATTCATTCTCCAGAACAGTTATTATTTCATACTATAGCTGTAGACATATTTCATGTCTATATCTATCCTGATCCAGGCATAAAAATGTCTTGGTAAATGAGTGGTACTTTTGTCAGGACTTAGACGTGTTGCATTTCCTGAGCGTACTCACTCCTTCCTCACTGCTCTCGTTAATTGGTTATTTGGGGAAAAAAATAGTCATTGTTTTCATTTAACTTTTGTTTTAAAAAAAACTTATTGTAAGTTGGTGGAAAAGTTATTTTCTTCTTGACAACTATAAGAGATCGGCCACCTTTCCATTCCAGTCCTCTCTCTAAAATAACCCTTCGTACCGTAACACAATAGATATTATATTACTGTGGTTCGAGTTGCATGTTCCTTCTTCCTTCCTGAGAGTCTCTTAAGAAGCTAAAGATAACTAGCCTTTGGGACAATGAACATCTGCGTTGGACTTTCTATTCAGGCGCTTTCCTAACCCAAGGATGGAGATTTTTTTTAAAAAAAAATTCACCACGAACTTAATTAACCCTTTGGTGGGTCAAACGTTTAAGGTCTGAACGTTTGTGTTTTCCCCGAATTTTGTCTCTGTGTCGCTGTGTGATGTGACGTGATGTGACGTGATTGATCAGAACAGGGAAGATTCCTGGAGGTCACATGCAGATTGCTGAGTGGGTTTGTACAGTAAATGTCCCCTGCGCTCTCTTCACGTAGCTGTGATTTACATTGACAAACGGTGACACTGTGAAGGTATTGATGTTGCAGTCATGCTGGGTATTAATATAAATCCTCACCGATGCCAGGAATGAAGCAACTCTGCACGCCCGGATGAATACAGCTTTAAGCCTATTCAACTCGGAGCATTTAAAGCACTCTCTCCTCCGTTTGAGATGCGTTTTAAAAGGGTAGAGCAGAAGGCAAGCTGAAAAGATTGTTTTTATAAACAAAAAAGAAGGGTTTCCCACATAGGTTTTGCAATTAGATTCCAAACAAAAAGCTCTCCAGGATTTTCCTGTTAAAATGGCTTTTTTCTTTCCCCCACAAAATACACAGTCGTGACACTTTACAGCATATCCTGTGAAGCGCTTTGAGACGTCTCGAAGGCGTGACAGTAATAATCCTCGCATTTGATATAGCGCCTTATCACGTCTTTGAGACGCCTCAAAGCGCTTCAGAGATTAGACTGTAAAGTGAATCGACTGTATATTTTGTGGGCGAAACGCGACAGCCAATTGCGCACAGCAGCGTCCTCACAAACGGTCGTGGATTGAATGCCCAGTTTTGTTTTTTTGAAGGATTTATTACCCCCTGATATAAGGCGCTATATCGAATGCAAGCATTATTATTATCATTATTATTATTAATAATAATTGGTCAGTTGCAGCATCTGGGCTAATAATTCTTTTCTTGTCTACTTTTCAGGCAAATTGAGCAACCAGGAGGCTTACAACAGCTTCACCAACAACAACCTGGGGAACCCCCGGCTCTCGCCCATCCCAATACTGACCATTGTGCTGCCGCTCGCACAGATCAAACAGCCCATGACTCTGGGAACCATCACCAAACGTACAGGGTAATGCATTTTGACTTGACGTCTAGTCTGTGTTTAAGAGAACTTAAAGAAACAAAACTGAACAGGGAACGGGCAGTGAGGTTGCTGCGAGTTACTTCAGTATCTTCAGCGAAAAACTGAGCATTTTCACACTAAAACTCTCCCCAATACGGCTGCACATAGGTGCTGCTGTTTAAAGGGGGGGGGAACAAAATGAGGCACTTTAAGGACGCTCTATCCAGAACAATCTGTGGGTTAATGATACAATGGGAATCTTTAATTAGCTATTAAGGATAAGCTCCTGTTAATATTGGTGGTGTGATCAGCATTCTAGAAGCTGAATGTTCAGTTGGAAAAGTCGAAATACCAACAAAAAGCACCCAGGCTGCCATGTGGGACGGTAGCGTGCTGGGGAGATGAGACTGGGGCAAAGCAATGAATAAAGGAATGGATTTTATTTGTTGACAGTATTGTGGTAGGAGAGAGGAAGAGGAGGAGGAGGTGGAGGAAATGGTTTCTTTCATTCTTTTCCGCTTTTGTGGTCATTCACACCAACCCCCAGTTCGGGTGCAAACGCTCAACTGCCCAGCACCTTGGGACGTCCTCCCGATGTGAAAGGCGTTATATAAATGCAATGTGTTGTCATTCACCCCTCCTCCTCCTTAACTCACGCACAATCTCTCTCTCACATTCGCACGTGTGTGCACACAAACAGTCGCACACGCTCAAACACTCTCACACACATACACACATCACACACAGCAGTCCCAGGATTTGCAAGTACAGCAGTGTCTTTAGTCCCGTGTTTGAATTGCACTGTATAATAATGTCATAAGCAGTAACCTTCACAGAGCCAATGCTTCACAAAGGATCTATGTACACATCTCAGAGTGGTTTCTAACGGACCCCGAAACACCACGTTATAACACAGGCGGTGGCCCTGTGTTCTAGCTCTGAAAGTGTTGCTATACTTTAGGCAAAAACGTACGACAACAATACTAATGAAAAGTAGCGATAGCACGATGTAAGAACCTCGGATCAGGAGAGGACCATTCAGTCCGTGAAACCTCCTCTACAGAAGCTGGATGGAGTTCCAAGGCTAGCGAGTGAGTTGGCTCACGTGGGTGTAGGCGTGGACCTAGGCTTCCAGCCGGCTTCAGGTGCCGGAGTGGGACAGAAAGCCGTTTATTCGCATATAATATGGTTTCTAACGGAACCCGAAACATCACGTCATAACCTGGTCGTCTGTCTTTTTGTCCTTTTACGAACTACAACGGCTCCGTTGATGTGATGTTCGTTTCATTCTCGGGGGTGGATGTGCTGAGCCGCAGGACTTTTAATGCCACGTTGGCGTTTGTTAAATGGTTTCCATTCTGTCTCCCAGAACAAAAGCTGTGTGTATGAGCTCAGTACAGGTGCTACTCCCAGCCTTGGTTAATCCAGACCTCTCCGAGCATTACTGGCTCCCATCAGCCCTTTTATTTCCTAGCAATCAGACTTGCTGATAATAGCTCGCTGACAAATTGCAAGCAAAGCCCCCATCTCCGATAGAGCAGCTTTTAGCCTTCACTTCATGCAGTGAGAATGGTCTGGAACCGGCCCAGCATCCGACTGTGCAACTGCCCCTTATCTCAAGAGTCTGCACTGAGCACCGGGAGAGGATTCATTTTCAGCAGCTCACAGAGCCCGCCTCCGCAATGTTAAAACAGTCCGTCACACAGACAGAGGAAGCTGTAACGTGCTTTGATGCTCTCAGTAAGTACAGCACAAAGAGAACAACCTGGAACATTATTGCACGTGGTGCCTTGAGCCCACATCACTCGCTCGTAAGTTGTTGACTCCTAGTCAGTGTGGTACAGGCCACTCATAAAAAAAAATCCTCTTATTTTGAACAGCTGTTTTGGATGGGTGCTGTGGTCCTGTTTTTGGCCAGCCGAGTGTCTGGGAACGCGTGTCCATCTCCGTGCTTAAGAGTCTCAAAGCCAGACCGAGAATTCCATGCATCCCACCAACACATGGAAATCCCAGATAGATTGCTGGAATGAAATGCGCACTTTCTCTCTCTCTCTCTCTCTCTCTCTCCCCGAGGAGGGACGCACCCTGCTTACCTAATCCCAGGAAACTATTAGGTGCAGGTTGGCAAGAGCCAAGGGCTGGGGTGGGGCTGTCCCCAGAGTGTGCGTTGGGCTAACTGCTGGAGTCTAACCAGCTAAAACTGCAGAGCTACAACAACGACAACTTCTATCGATATAGCGCCCATCACACAGGGTAGCCTCCAAGAAGTTAGAGAGTTGGGGAGGTCAGTGGCAATCAGTACACTAACGTTTCAAACACAGGGCTGACAGATGAACGAACCTTCCAGCACCACTCAGTTCTCCCAGTTCACACCTATTCTGAAAATGAATCACAACGATATAAAAACTAACCTCCTTTTTCGTTCTCTCCCGCTAAACCCCCAACCCAGGCCTTTCCTTGCCTGCTGAAGAATATGACCACTGGACTGTGAATGAAATGTGTATATTCCCGATAAACTGGCACCCTCCTACTAAAAGTTCAGACATAGCTGCAAACTAATCTCCTCAAAATAAATCTTTTACAGTGAAATTAAATTGTGATTTAAGGAGTAAAAAAAATGTTCAACTAATTTGCCAAGATATCTTGGCAGCAATTTACTGGCTGTAATAGAACTGGCACAATAGAATTTTATACTTGGAATAGATATGCATTTATCTCGATTCCACTGTGCCTAAATCGAATAATTTATTACTCCAACTATGCTGTATCTTGTGCTTAAATCATAAATGGCTAATTTCATGCCAATTTGTGTATCAGTGAAACAAATGGGAATTCTGTTCACAATTTGACGTTTGCATGCAATCCTACTTTAACAAGGCCACAAGCAGAACAGTTTGGGACGTGGAATGATTTTGATTCTCGCTTCTATTGCATTCCCCCCCACGCCGTACTGGTAGTGAACCCCCACCTCGTGCCAGAGGTGTCCTGTGTGAGGGGTTACCCGGTGTGAGGAGCCTATATAAGGGCAAGTTGTTGTTGTTGTTGTCCCCCCTACTCTGTGGAACGTTACCAGAGAGTGGTTCAGATGAAGATCCAATGGCCCAAATGATCACATTCTTCCAAAATACAGCCCTACCATCGTCTCAGTTCAAAGACATCGGTGCGAAACACATCAACTGTGTCACAGGGTTCGATGTAAAGTCCCCCCTTCTCTGCCTCGACATGTCTTAGCTTCAAACCTCAGACGAGCGCCTGTACTGCACTGGGGGTGGGGGATCGTTTCCCCATGTCTTCACACTTCACCCTTTCCTTATGGCCCCAATGACAGATTGCCAATTTGTGCTGATTTGTGGGCAGTTTTGTGCTGCTTGCTACGCACTGGATTGTGAATGCCCCAAAGCTCATTTCACGTAAGCCCGTACAGCTGGCAGAGCGGAGAGCCTTTTTTATCCATCTGGGCTGGATTTCAAATCAGATCGCAGAGGTAAAAACAGGCTTCCACATTACCCAATCGCCTAACACTTCCTCGTTAAAGTTCCTGCATTCGGTTATCCAACTGCAGTGCGCAGCAACAAAAGGATCGCACTCATCCCTCTTCAAGGACAGCAAGGTTCCCAATGCAGGTCAAGCTTGCGGCCTACAAGACCCGCGTGCAAACACGTTCCTCCTTTACGGACACGAGCTCCGGCGGAGAGGCTCGGTCGGACCTGTTTGCAAGGTTCAGGATCGAGCAGCGAGTTGGATTTGCGGCAAGCGGCAGGAGTGAGGGAGGGCTCCGGCCTGCACTGGCTCGTCGCTGAGCACCCTGGAAGCAGAGGCGGCTTCGCAGCTATTCGCCGAGGTCCCTGGCGTGAGGACCTTGCCTGGGACCTCGAGAACCTCAAGGTGCCCGGCACGTCTCAAGCTGTCCTGTGAGAGACTTGATGCTCGAGAAGAGAGATCACTTGAGAACGGAAGAACGAATAGGAGCCGCCTGCCCCACATTGCTGTTCGCTGGTTTTTGTTCAGGAATCTGGCCATCCCTCCTCTCTGACAACTCGTTTCGTTTAGCATCGTCCAGATCATTCTGTCTTTTTGCAGTTGGCTTTACTCTGAATTTGCCAACAACACACTGACTGCTTCATTTTATTGCTTCACTCTCGCTCTCTCTCGCTCACTCACTCACTCTCCTTCCTAAACCCATCCGCTCCCCCCCTCCCTCTCCACCCACCACCACCCCCACCCTCCAATGCTCTCGTCTGTAAAGCTGGCTGTGCCTGCGTACGTCTCTCTCTCTCTCTCTCTCTTTCTTTCTCTCTCTTTCTAAGTTAAGAACAGAAGAAAGCTTTAAAGCACACGAAAAGCTGAATGTCCGCTCACCCACATCTCGTGTGCGGTGACATTGATTTCAGGCTGCCCCCCCCACCCAAATCCCCCCGTATCCTCCAATCTGTTTCTTTCCTTTCCTTTCCTTGCTCCTGGGGCGGTCAGTGTCGTTCTCGAATGATTAATCGCGCAGAAGTTCTAATTTGATATTTTGTCACAGTGAACGGTGTGTAAACAACTAGTTTATATGATTAAAGTTTATGGAAACATCTGGAGAAAGAACTCGATACGGCGGTGATTAACGGCAGAGACAAAGGTGAAATCAAATTGTAATGACATCCATCAGGAAACGTCTGAGCCAATTTAAAATGAAAACCAGTGGCAGTTCTCTCTCTTTCTTTCTCTCTCTCTCTCTCTCTCTCTCTGCCGTTCTTAGTGGGTTTAAGCTACTGAGCAGGGAGAAGGAAACAGGTAGATTTTGATTTAAAACAACCAAGGCTGTAATATCGCCAATCAGAAGGCCGCTGGCGAACGAAAGGATCTGGCGGAAGTCACTATATTAGCCAAGACCTTGGATTTGTAATGCTTACTAGACTGCTTTGAATTTGGATTAATCTCCCCTCTTGGAAGTAAAACCGCAAGAAATCAGATACATTACTCAATGCGAGATTGCCAGAGTATGTAGGAATCCCACCCGCCCCCCTCCCTCGTTTCCAGCCCCCTTCTGCTAAACCAGGCCGAAATAACAAACGCCAGACATTGTTTCCATCTTTCCGGCCAGCAACCACCTCATCAGTCCTGGCGCGGCGAGTGAAATGATGACTGTGCACAGAACACACAGTCAGCAAACTGTCCTTTGTATGATTGTTGAGCCACTTTCCTCTGCGACGCACAGATTCGTGTGCAACTTATAAACGGCACAAGCTTTGCTCTCGTGCTTCTGAGGCTACGCAGAAACCTCAGCCGGGTTTACTGCCCTGTAATAACCCCAAGGTCTCCCGTCATTTTCTATTTAAATAAAACACGCTGATAATTAACCCTGTTATCTAAGTGGTCAGACGTGTTGTTGGATCCCAGGGCTGAGCTGGGCTTAATGGGTACTTATGATCTGTTGTGAGTATCCGGCGTGAGGCAAATCTTGAGTTCAGCATTCTCCATTCTAAAAAAAAAAGCCATATTAATATTATAACGCAGGCTCAGAAAAGCACACATCACTGGACCGGTGTGTCAATGTCAGTTTTCATTCCAGCCACCTTCTTTATCTTCTTTACGGCCTCTTCAATGGAGAGTGCCAACTCCAGACAGTTTGCTGCTGTTGGCTCTGATCCACAGGGAGCAAGATTAAGACACTGCGAGAGAGAGAGAGAGAGAGAGAGAGAGAGAGATGAGACTTCGATGCTTCAGTGTGGAGTGAAAGTGAACTTGGGCCAAACTGCACTAAACCCCTTGAGTTGTGGTTCTCATACGATGTCCGTGTGACTTCGAGGACCAACAGTGCGAGCGAGATAACACTCACTGCCATGATCACATGACACTTCCTTCGCCTTGGGACGTACTCCCGACGTGAAAGAGCCTATACAAATGTCATTTTGTATTGCATTGCATTTATCCTTGACTCCACGATCATTTCCACTGTGCTCAACATGGGATTCGGATGTCTGAGCGAAATAATATAGAAGGGATAATTTTTTTTTGCTCTCTCTCTCTCTCTCTCTCTGAAATTTTGTAGAGAAACTAAATAGAACTCCCGGAAAACAAAATCCGTAGGTAGATTCCCGCTGACCGGACGGCAGGATTTCCACGAAAATGACACTCGCGATTACACGTGTGGCAAAATGCTTCAGAGCTTGAGGCTCAGATGGAACGGGTTCACAGAGGATTTCATACCCCGTGTGTTTAAAAATCAGCAATCCCAAGACATGCCGTGTTAGCAAACGGTGGGAACACCTAACTCCGAAAAGCTACCCCGGGGGTGGGGTGGGGGGGAAGAGCGCGATATAAATGCAAGCTCGTTATTGTTTAGAAGGTTTATCGGTGCCCATTGCTTGTCCTCAAACGAACCCTTGTGTGGAAGACGGTATTTTCTGAAAGGGCGAGAGGTCCTCTCAGTAATAAGCACCTGATATTAAACTGTGAGACGAGAGTGTGAATGTGAGAAAACGTTGGGTGGGGCGGGAGGGGGTGGGTGGGGGTGGGGGGGGGGGTTTGCTTAGCATGCTGCTGTCATAATTACCATTCTGCCTTTGTGATTGTGTTGCTAGTTTGATTCTCTCCTTCCTCCCTCCCTCCCTCTATGCCATCGCCCGCTCACCACAGCAGAGCAGTGGGGAATATGGAGTCTGCTTTCAGTTAGCGGGATAGAACCATCCCCACCACCAAAAGATCTCTGGTGTCAGAGGGAACACCTTGAGCCGGGAACGAGGGTGAAGGGAGGAAAGCGGGATGGACAAAAGGCGTAAAAAAAAGAGCAAATGGAATTAAAAGGTCCCATTTCGTCCATTGCGCGCAGGATAAAAGGTTAACAGTGTCACGGGTGCTTAGCGGAGGCGCGAGCCATTGACACAGCTGCCTCGTACCTTATCTGAGAAGACTAGACAAACCGGCAGCTCCTCTCTCATCGACGCAGTCTCTTTCGTACTCAAAACACGATGCTCCTCCATTCAGCAGCTCATCGTGTACCACTTTCAGATGTGGCTGCGACAGATAGAGGAGAGGGCACACTGAGCCAGCAAGCGCTGGGGCAGATGCCTGGCGATGAATCGTTGCCCTTTACCCTTTTTACTGTTGCCTTGTGTTTCCGTACTGTATGTACAGGGTGACCAAAAAGTCGCGATAACTACCCCTGTTATCTTTTTTTAAAAAAAAAGGTTTCGTTAAGACTCATCAGACACTGTCAAGGGTATCACGATTTTTTGGTCAACCTCTCTTCCGTTGCAAAGCAACGGCAGTAACGGAAGAAATCAAGTCCAGCGAACTGAAATCAGTCTGTTTCTAAATGAAGAAAAAAAACGTCTTTAATCGTTCCTTTTTTTTTTGAGGTGGCACTTTTTTTTAATTGATGGATTAATTCTTATTTTTTTGTGTGTCTTGTTTTCCCTCACTCGAAGACCTTACCTGTTTGGGGCGGGATGTTTTTCCTTAAAAGCTCCGTGGTGAGTTGTCGGAAACAGTGTCAAGCATGCCTCGTCTGCCTGTGTCTGCTCTCTGTTACAGCATCGCTTCCTCTTTTTTTTTACTTATTTATTTCACATTGTCGGAATTCTGTGCATGGACCGACTCGTCTGCAGATACAGGCACCAAACAACCAGAAACAGCTGCAGCCCGTGATTGAAGAGTAACACAAAATTGGAACCGAATGTGCAAATTACAGGAGGACACATGAAAATACAACAACCGTTTGCTGTAGTCGCTTTTCATTTGCCGATTCTGGAAGTGGCTATTTTGTGGTGTTTTTGATGTCGACATTGATTTGTTAAGGAGCGCTTAATCCCTTTTTATGTAGCAACTTGCGAACTGAAAAATCCAGTTTGTATCTAATCTAAAACATCAGGGACTCTTAACACCTTCTCTCCAAACTTCTGGCACAACTAGTGGGTTTTTTTTTTTAACCGACCCGATATTTTACAGCCTCGAGAGCTTCTCGGTGCTCTCGTTGCCTCCATTCCCTTCCCCCCCCCCTTTCCCCCACACCATCCTCCTCCTCCCCTTTGGATGTCCGAGCCATTCGCTCTGCTACCTCGGAGGCTCAGATATTGGCTCCAGGCTCTCCCTCTGTGAGTTAACCCATTCACGGCAGCACTGGCACTGGCACTGCAGACGTGAAACCGACTGAGCTGGGCTCTGAGTTGACTTAATTGAAACCAGTTGTTCTTCTGGTCAGTTGCTGATGGTGACAGACTCGGTTTGTAGCAGCAGAATTGTTGGTCAATCTCAAATTTTACTTGACCGCTCCTGTAATTTTCCGGTGACTACGTGATGCCGTGTGAAGCCACAGACAACGAATGTCGCCTGTTTAGTTTAGTGACAATTTTCTACAGCGTGTCAAGACCCGGGTAAGCACGGCGGACATTCCGATCGGAACATCCGGCCGAAAGCTTCTTCTCCACAATCTGCTGAGTGATCCATTCCTCGGCGTTTACCGACTGAGTAACGCATCAGCCGGCCTCCGCCAGTGCCGCGCCAAAATAACAACAATTTGCATTTATGTAGCGCCCCTCAGGCAGCTTAGCATCCCAGAACTCTTGGTACCCGTTATAAGTGTCGGTAATCACCAGCAAATGTTTAACTGGAGGCTGGCCACGTAAGCAGAATGACAGTCTGGTCACTTGTCTTTTCCCTCAAACAAATACAAATTACATTTGTACAGCGCCCTTCACGTCGAGAGGACGTCCCAAGGCGCTGGACAGTCAGGGATTTGGATCCGAGCTGGGGGTCATGAGTTTGTAGGGTAGGAGGGTGGCCGAAGGCTCGGTCGAAGAGGCATTGTTCCCCACCAGGCACCAGCTCTGTCCCAGGAGAGCACCTAATAGGGTTTGCTTCCAGGTTCCCCCTTTTATTGCTATCGCGCTGAGTGTCCGTGTGCGGTTTCTCTTCAAAACCGCACAATGCCCCTCAGTCTTAATGACCCGGGGAGTTCAGTCGATTCAGTCCTGGACTTGGACCTGGATTCAAGGAATGAATCACTCAGAAGATTTGGGGGTTGAATTCTGTTGAGGAGTCCACTTAGCCTTTGATCCTTTTGAGGTTGATGACAGGCCCACAGTAATTTAGCTCAGATTTAGACAATCCCTCTGTCGTGCAAGCCAAATGCTTAGAACGGCCAAGTACCTTGCTTAGAGACTGGTCGCATTTGACTGGCTGAATGAATCGCCTTACTCCGACCCTGCATTCCTCCCGCGTAAAAATCCTTTTATTCGAGGCGGTGCCAATAACGTTAAAGCATCTCCAAGCTCTTCACAGGCAATCGCTGCGAAGTGTAGCAACTGTGCACTCGTTGGAAAACCCGGCAGCCAATTTGCTAACAGCGATGCGCCCATACACAGCCATGACGTGAATTTATCTGTAGGACTGCTCTGATGCTGTGACTCGATGCCCTTTTCTCACAAGGGAAGCAAATGCCAGAAGGCAGCTCACATCAGGATACTCTTAAGTCTTGTAGGGTCCATGAGAATGACAGACTGCTGTCTCACCCGCATAGTGTGAGACAGAGTGAGGGTGGTGGGGGGGCGGGGGTGCGAGAAAGAAAGAACTTAAACACAGGCAAAATGACCATAAAGAGAGAATCTGGCTTTATGTTTCTATCGCACTTGCTTCCCACCTTTACTGACTGATGTGATGATCATTTCCACTGATTCAACCCTTTAAAACTGTGCCCATTTGCCCATTTACATCGAACGAAACTGCCCAAACACAAAGCCACCTGCGTTTCTGGTATCTGATGCCTTTAACTCTCGTCACAAGTAAACTCTCATCCCTTCAGTTTTATTTTTTTGTTTAAAAATTCATCATTCGATCTCAGTGTTTTTTTTCTGGTTCCGTTTCATTACCATGTGCAGTTTGTTGTTGGTCATTACAAGTGCCTCCATTGCTTCAGGCAGCGTTTCAACCGCAGAATCCTATGCAGCATGCTGCCCATCACCACCAAACCTGTTGAGGACAGTGCTAACGTTTTTACATTGCAGCCAAAGTCATACTGAGCCTCAGTTGTCTATTTTCTGCAGCTGTATTGCATGTAGAGAGAGAGAGAGAGAGAGATGACTTCACACCTTCTGGTTTGTTTGCGATGTCCAATAATAATGGTCCTTGCATTTGATATGGTGTCTCAACACACGAAAATGTCACCTTGTTATTAATTAACGATCCTTGCATTTGATATACGCCTCATCACGTCGGCAAAACGTCTCAAAGCGCTTCACAGGATTTACCGCAGAGTCTGTAGATGAAAAGGGCAGGCAATTTGTTCACAGCAACATCCCGCAAACAAACCACTGCAAATTGATTCACCAAGTTTACACGGGGTGGAGGGAGGGGGGGGGATTATTGGCCAGGACACCAGGAAAAATTCCCTTCTCTTTACCAGTCGAGCCACGGTAAAAAAAATATAACGCTACTGTTATTTTTTCAGGAAAGTAATTTTTGTACCCAAAAAAAACATTCCTCGCATAACCTGCTTGCTTCTTTGAAAGTAAGAGGGTAAGAAGATAGGGACACAAAAGCATTACTCAGCTCCGATCTATGCCCGATGTGTCACTTCACATCCAACAACAAGAATAACGACAAAAAAAAACTTCCAAATTAAACCTGAATTTGAGAATTTTCCATAATTCTGCGTCATCTGTCGAGACGGAATGGCCTCAGCAAACTACAGGCCTGAAGTCCTATCGACTTGTAGCTGAGGACACTTGTAAACAGGATGATCTTCAGCTCGTCAAATAATCCCTGCGTTTGATACAGCGCCTTATCACGTCTTCGAGACGTCTCAAAGCGCTTCACAGAAATATCCTGTAAAGCGAATTGACTGTATATTTTTGTGGGCGAAATGCGGCAGCCAATTGCGCACAGCGGCGTCCCCACAAACAGCCGTGGATTTGAGTGACCCAATCGTTTTTTCAATGTAGATTTTTTTAAGGGATTATTTCCATGCTTAAACCTTCAAGGGCTGAAAAGTCAGGGAGAGACTTGACATTTAAAGTTAATTCACGGGCTGGACTGGTTTCTGCTTCCTGGCACCGCACGTCCCAGCACTGGCAATAGGCAATTTGTAGAATAAGGGAGAGGCTTTCTCTCCAGGAAATGTACTGTGTGGGAACGTCCTTCATATGATTGAGGGAATCGGGCAGGTATTCTCCAGAAAGTCAACACCAGGGATATACCTTCTCCTAAACACACAGTTACACAACATATGCCTACACCACACACAAATTCACACACACACAACACACCGTACTTGCTGCAAAATAATAATAATACTCTTTGCATTCGGTACAGCATCTCATCACGTCTTCGAGACGTCTCAAAGCCCTTCACAGAATATACTGTAAAGTAAATTGTCTGCAAATTTTGTGGGCGAAACACGGCAGCTTCTGTCCCCACAAACAGTCGTGGATTGAGTGACCGATTTCCACTCGTGTTATTTTTCGAGGGAATTAAGATTTAACTTGTTCACCATGCACGCTCACAATATCAACACTTGCATTGGATTGCGCTGTCTCCAGTCGGCGCGTCTGTTTGATTTTTGCAGTAGTGTCAGACTGGGCGTCCCTCTGTGCATCTGTTAGCGGTTATTTTCTCGTGACATGTCATCGTATTGTTAAAAAGCCAAGCTGCTCATCACGAATGGCTGCTATTAGATCATGTCTGAGGTAGACATTAAACGCGTTTGATGTTCTCGCAGAGACTATAGCATGAACATCCCAGATTAATAGGCTTTTATTTTTGATATCACTGTATAATTTTGCAGAATTTGAAAGGAGGTTCTAAATAGCTCCCATAAACGTCGCCCTGCCCACGAGCTGGCTTTGACTTTAAGTACATGTGCAGTGCGGTAACATCAGAACCACATGCAAACCATTTTGCAGGCAGTAATTTGAAGTCCTCTGAATGTTTATTTTGTCCTTTCCAAAATCCTTTTTGACAAGAATAGCTGATCCCATATGAACCTTTTGACATCAAAGAAGTGTTTTACCTACGTTGTCAGAGCAGGGCTGCACTTTAAAGATCCGAGCTGCCTGCCCATTGTTGCAATTGTATTTTTCCTGCGTGTCGGAAAGTGTTGTGGTTGTGTTGGCACAGTGACCTGAGGCTTCAGTCCACCGTGATATAAAGTGTTCAGGCACAAGCTTATGCCTGTGATTCTCCACTTACCAGTTCACAATATCAGCCACTTGATCAGAGAAAAGTACAGACTGAGAGACCAGGAACCTCCCTACAGGGAGAGAGGCAGCACTGCTGATCTTAGACTACAGTCGCACTCTCTGGCAGTGAGTGACTTGAGTGGTTGGAGCAGAATGCGGGTGATTGTTTGGGAAAAACCATAAGGAAGGACAGAGGAATTTAAAAACTGAATGCTTCCCCTTTCTCATTTGTTTATATTTCAAATTAAGAGTTTTGAAATAATAATAATAAAAACGTCGCAGGAATGTTGACAAGCATCGGCCTCGAAAGCAAGTGACCGATAACTAATGAGCAGTGGGGTTTAGTGGGAATGCACTCGGGAAGGCAGCGCTGTAAGAAATGCCGCTTATTAATTAATTAATGTGCATTTTGGAGAGACTCTCACAGAAATCAGCCAGGTCGCGCGCAGCATCAACTCCAGGGGCTACCCGTGGCTTACAGCTCACATCATCTAAAGATAACTGTTGGTCCTGTTTCTTTACTGCGAGTCGCTGTGTCGTACTCTCGGTGTGCTTCAGAGGGGGACTGGCCTGCGCACACATACTTAAAGTCAGAGCAGCTCACTGTCCCACAGTCTTTTCACTTTTATATTCGCCTACACAATACAGTGAATCCTGTGAAGCGCTTTGAGAGGTGCTCTCCTGACATGGATATTTGAAATTGGCGGAAAGAATTTCCGAGAGGGTGATTAAAGCCCGCGATCAACACTGAAACTGTCCGCATCGAGGAATAAATGATGTTATTAAGACTAAAGGTTAAGCGGGAGTTTTTAGAGTAAGGTCACGACAGAAAAGTGATCACAGATGTGTTTCCGAGTCTCAGCCATGGACTGGAACGGAAAAGGTTCTTCTTTCTCTGATTTTCAGAAATTGAAAATTTCTCTGATCAAGTGGCTGATATTGTGAACTGGCAAGTGGGAGAATCACTGGCATAAGCTTGTGCCTGAACATTTTATATCACAGTGGACTGAATTTGTGTCCGCAAATACACAGTCGATTCACTTTACAATATATTCTGCGAAGCGCTTTGAGACGTCTCGAAGACGCGAAAAGCGCTATATCAAATGCAAGGATTGTTTTTATTGTTATGAAAAAGGCTCTGCGGAACACAAGGATTATTAATATTATTATCCATCCAAGATCGAGATAAGGCGCTACATCAAATGCAAGGATTATTATTATTATTTGAGCCCCCAAAAAGCTGGCCACCGGGACGGAGTGGGCAAGGGCAGTTAACGGGGGTCACAGGGTTATAAGTGAGTTTGCACTGTAGTGAAGCATGTTATAACAGGGCCAGAGTGTATATGTATGCGTAACTGTTGGGGCAAAGTGGGTATGACAGCTTTTCTGAGTGAACAGGATTACAATTCTGCCCTTTGCCTTCTCACCCTCAGGTGTCAATTGGTCGAAAAGCAGTTGTAATTTATTGCTCTTTATTCAGCCTTTATTCTCACACTTTAACATTCGACGTCGACCCTTTTCCATTCTAGTCCATGGGTGAGACTCAGAAACACATCTGTGATCACTTTTCTGTTGTGACCTTATTCTAAAAACTCCCGCTTAACCTTTAGTCTTAATAACATCATTTACTCCTCGGTCCGGATAGTTTCAGTGTTGATCGCAGGCTATGATCAGCCCCTTGGAAAGTCCCACGAATTTCAAATACGTTTCACAAAAGGAAATTTAGAATTCAGTAAAATAAGGTTCTATTGCACCTTATCACGGTGACACGTCTCAAAGGACTCTACTATCACGTGTAGTGAGTGCTTTGTGAGCAAACACAACAGCTATTTTGCGCCCAGCAAGATTCCACAAACAGCCATGAGGTGATGTCGAAACACTGTAAAACATGTTGACGAAAAACAACTGTGGGGTTAGCCGCAGAAGATATTTTACTCGCGCTTTGGGACGTCCTCCCGACTTGAAAGGCGGTACGCAAATGTAATTTGTTGTTGTTATTGCTGTCCGACTGTAACATCCACCCAAAGTACAGGCAGATGAAGTTTAATGTGCTTCCGACACTCCAAAGCACATCAATAAAAATTTATTAACAAAAATACTAAAACTAGCGTGGCAAAACTTCAACCTCATTCATGTATGATTAAAGAATCTGGCTGATTTGTGGTCGCACAGCTAGACTTAGTTATCATTATAAAAAAAATTACAAAGCCCTCTAGCATTACTTCTTGAGCTCTGATGCCACAACCACCTCTGAACAGAGATCGATTCCTTTTTAGCTGAGTGTTAGTTGTTTTTTTTACTCGTGCCCATTCCAAAACGCATTCAACTTTAAACAAAAAGCTCTAATAGGCTTTGAGTGGGTTACTTTACGTTTCTAATGTTAGATAAGAGTTAACAGCCTCATTCCTCACCAGTAATGTCACTGGTATCCAAAGCACAGAGAGAGGTCTGCACTTCTATGTAGTGCGTGTGAGCAAGATTGTATTGACCGACCAGTCATACACTTGAAGCTCTTACTCCAGACCTTACTCACTTAAACCTTGACATCTCGTGCTCTCGCCATCCGTCCAGATATTTCTGTTTGCTTCATAATTGTTGACCATCCTTCAGCGCAGTTTGGGTGTGCGTGTCTGTGTATTTTAGCCTCTGTATATATACAAATACATTACGATGATGTTTTGGCCTTATCAAGGTAGAAGAGTAACCGCTTCCGTGCTCAGGACAGGGGCATTTGCTATCGGAAGTTCCGTGTTGTTCAGATCAGATGTTATGCTGTGAAAGGTTAACGCGCGACTTCTAGCAAACGCAGGTGCGTGATTTGATCGGGCTTCACTGAAGTCTCCTGTTTTGGGTTTCCAGTAAGAGCAAGTCCCGCTCGGCCCCGCAGATCTCGCCCAGCAAAGCAGCCGGTGGCGAATTCTGCGTCGCTGCCACTTTTGCTTCATCGCGATCCTGGTTAACGACCAACCCCGGTCTGAAGCGGGAGAAAGGTGAGGATTCATTCAGCAGCGCGTTTTTTTTTATTAAAACCATCAACGAATTGCCGGCAAACGTCACTGGCTGTGCCTGGCGCCATAGAAATCCACGGCACAGAATGTCCCCGGCAGGACATTACGTACCCTAACTCTTCTGTACGTGAAAAAAAAATCTCCTAATCTTCACCTGCTCCTTTAGTAACCATCTTCAATTGATGCCCTCTGGTCACTGACTCAGATAATTTCTCCCTATTGACTCCTATCGAAACCCCTCCTCATTTCAAAGACCTCGATCGAACTGAGTTCCGCCCAGTTTTGCCCAGTTGCAGGATTTTACTGTCGCAATTCCGCCTTGAACTGTACACGCGCTTTGGCTGGGTATTGCTCCACTTTACCGCTGTCGCCCTTTATTTTCTCCGCAGATCAATTGAAGCAGTCGGTGGTGGATTCCTTATTCATTATCAGTTGCTACGGTAACCTGGTGGAGCATATGATTGAGCCACGGCCCGTCAACACTGTTCAGAAGATCAGTGATGACACTCAGTTGGAGTTGGTGACGTCTCCTCGAGCCAGCTGGACACTGGCCAGGTAGGTTGCTTAAACTCACGGGACAGATATCCACCTTTCCTGACGCGTGGTCAATGCGGTGTTTGACAATCCCAAAGTTGGGTTGAGGTAAATGAGTTTTAGGATGACAGGAGTTTAGGACATCGAGGAAGCTTTGATTCCAGCTAAGTCTCAGAGCCTTGCGAGATTTGACAGATTGATGCTCCTAGTTTTGTTAATGCAACTCAAGACTCTTATTACAGAGTCCTCAGAATCTCATCAGCCATCGTTAGTCTAATTCAATTCTTCTAATGCCCCACGTTGCCAGATGTTTAATATAAAAATTATAGTCGGTCACAACATCACAAGAGAGATGTGCACTGGAGAAGGCCTTTGCGTCCATTTGATCTTGACTTTATAGATTACCAACCCTACCATCTTCCCATTGCAGCGCCAAATGGTTTTTTAAGTGAGTCCAGTGTCCACATAACCTCTTCCAGCTGTGGCCAGTTGGACTCACTGCCTTTGGTTTTGCTTCAGTGAAAGGGAGAGCTCATTAAGAATAACTATGCCTCTATTTGAGGCCTGTTGTGCTTTGTGATCTCACAATAATCTTATAATTGAAACTTCAGGAATGGATTATAACCAGCTATATCCAAACTCTTCTATCTCACATGTGAAGTCATCTCCTTCAGCTCATCTTCAGGTGGAATGATCACACACCCGCACAGGCACTGAGATGGAGAATTCATGCCCACAATCCTCTCTCACGTAGTGAGTTTCCAATCTCAGTCACTTCCAGAAACGGTGGAGAGTAGAGGCTGGGGACGCCTTTATGGAGAGAGAGGAAGAGTAAGGTCCCATTTACCTGTTCAGAGGTTACGTAGAATGACACAGACTGTACACAGCACCGAAACGAGTTGTTTGCCCAACTACAATACAGCACAAAATTACATTTGTATAGAGCCTTTCACATCGGGAGGACATCCCAAGGCGCTGGCTTGTGTGGGATTTGGACCCGAGCTGGGGGTCGGGATCGATGGGGAGGTGGTGTAGGGTAGGGGTGGGAGCGTGGCTGAATGCGCACTTGAAGAAGAGGGTCTTGAGACCAGTGCCAGTTTTTATACTCTACATGAGCCTCCACCCATCACACTCCTCCCTTCCTGCCTCTCCAAATCCCCCTGTTCCCTCCTCCCTCATGTATACATCAAGTTTCCTCATAGATACGTTGATGCTTTCTAGCTTCAACCACAGCTCTTGAGTCTGCGAGTCCCACATTCTCAATGCCCTCCTTGCAAAGAGGTTCCTCCAAAACTCTTTTAGATCTAACTGTGACTGTCTTAAAAATATTTACGCCTCCTTGTTATGGACTCATCAAAAAGTGGAAACAGCTTATTTATGTTTAATGGACTCCATTTAGATTGAGTAGGGCGCAGCGTGAGAGATAGAGAAAGCGTGCGAGCAGCATAGGGACAGAGAGCTGCCTCATGATTCACGCTCACTTGCTGATTCAGGCCACGGGGAGTTACTTGTTTATGACTGTTTGGAAGGGGCCACTGGACGACGACAACAACAACAACTTGCATTTATATAGCGTCCCAGAGCACTTGGACCCCGCGCTATTGAGGTTTCGTTTGGCTGTGCTTGCTCTAAGCAGCCTATGTTCAGCCAGTAAAGAGTTAGTGCGGAATGGGGCAGAGCACGTAGCAAAATGTTGATTGCATTGCGCACAGAGACATGTTTTGTTTGAAGGTAGGGGGTCCACAGACTTGTTGGCGAGCAAACCTGGTTACTCCCCCCCACCCCCCACCGACAACCTTGCAGTCTCAGCAGCGTCAGCCATGCGCAAACGGTAATTTTAATCAGTGTTTTTTATTTAACCAGGTCACCGGTCGCTCCAAAGGGAATTTTGTTATTCTTGTGATTTATTTGTTCTCGGCCCAGCGATGACTGTTATTTTTTTGAACCGTTATTTTCGTAATAATTCTGCTCCCATTAAAAGATGTAATGGCTCTTGAAGTTGCTGAGTTCATTTGTCACAGGCCAGTCATTTCAAGTTATGTATTTGACAAAAAAAAACAGCAGTGAAATCACTCTTAAACAAGCACGTTCGGAAACGGGTGAGAGAGAGCCCCCCCCCACCCTGCCCCCACCACACACACACACACACACACAAACTACACACACACTACACACGTCCGCTTTACCAAGTTGCTTTAAATAGAGCAAAGGAATGACGTCAAGTCCCGTATCAAATTTTCCAAATATATCTTTTTTTCTCTCTCTCTCCCAAAATGAGGTCTTTTTGATTTGGTCTTATATCAGAAGTTACACTGTTTCGGGGTTCAAAGGGCACCTCTGGTCTCCGAAAAATCGCTCGACAAAGACAGAAATTAGTCTAAAGCAAGAGATTCCTTAATTACCAAATATCAATTACTTGGATTTGTGCATTAGTCTGTAATAGTCTTAAGTGTATTAGAATGCTTTCCCATTGAAAGGTGGCTATTGAGGCAGGATTAATGCAATCGTTCAAAAGGGAACGGTAATAACATTAGGGGATAATACCCCCAGCCCTAGGGAGCCCTGTGTGAGAGGTGGCTCGCGAGACTCTGTGTTGTACAGCACAGGGTATCAGTTATCCCTGGGCTTTTTGGAAACGGATAGTGTGGCTTCCCAAAGGAAACCAATTTGTGTATTTGGGATAATATTTTATTCATTTTCAAAGGTTTCCAGTCTTACAAGACTTGACATGCCAGTAACGCATTACTCCTAAAAGTGCTTCACAACACATTACCGTCAAAGCCACATCAGGACCCAAACAAAAACACGCTGTTAATGTACGACTGGATCGCCTGAGGTTGCTCGGTAGTGGTCCTCTCCCAGTCTGTCACCAGAGTTTTAGAGATGAGGGAGCAACGACTGAGCCAACTGCGGGTGTCAGTACGCTGAAAAAATAATAATCGTCGCATTTGATACAGCGCCTCATCACGTCTTCGAGAAGTCTCAAAGGCGCTTCACAGAATGTACTGCAAAGTGAATCTGCTGTGTATTTTGTGGGCCAAGCGCGGCAGCCAATTGCGCATGGCAGCGTCCCCACAAACAGCCGTGGTTCGAGCGACCAAATTACGATTATTAATGGACGAGTGTATTCTCCACTGTCTTGGCAGGGTGACAGCACCAGAGGGAAAGGCCTGGGAGGTGTGGGCTCTTTCTGTGATAAAACGGTCCACGTGAAGGGACATGAAAGAAGCGTGTGTCAAGACTCGCGAAAGGTTAATCCTGACGGGAATCAAACCATTTGGGGTTGATTATAAATGGCCTCCAGTGTGTGTGTGACAACGTCCATCGCCACGAAACAAACCTAAAAGCACTTTTATCTGACACTTATCTGTGGTCAAACCCTGTATCTGGCACTGAACCCTGTGGCTAACTGTGTGTGTGTGTTTCCTCCCCCCCTCTCGCTGTGTAGGACTCCGCAGTGGAACGAGCTGCAGCCGCCCTTCAATGCAAACCATCCTTTGCTGCTCGCTGCTGATGCTGTACAGCACTATCAGAACCAGCTGGCTGGGCGTAAGTACCAAACCCACTGCTTTCTCGGCACACAGCAACAATCCAAAACAACCAATTACGTTCGTACAAGCGCCTTTCACGTTGGGAGGACGTCCCAAGGCGCTGAACAGTCAGGGATTTGGACCCGAGCTGGGGGTCGGGATTGGTTGGACGGGGGGTAGGGGTAGGAGTGTAGCCTAATGCCCGGTTAAAGATGGGGGAGGGGGGTGGTCTTGAGACGCGCTTTGAAGGAGGCAAGGGAGGGAGCATGACAAACAGACTGCGAGATGTTGTTTCAAAGTGTGGGCGGGGGGGGTGGGGGGACAGAGAAGCTGGAGGCCTGATCGCCGATGACCACACTCGGCCCACCGTGGTGCAGTATGAACTCTGTGCTTCAATCTCTTTCTTCAAATCGTGGTAGAGTGACTGTTTCTAACGGCGTTTCACCCTCCCTCGCTCGGTCACTTGCAGCTTGTACCCCACTACCAGCTACTCCCTGCGCTGCAGGTGCCATACCCCGCCTGTATTTTACCCTCGGGAGAGTGAGACTTCCTGGGCGGCTGCTGGTAGCCCTCCGGTGGCTATTTTGTGTGCTTACAGAGTGATCGGTCTGCAGGCTTTTCATCCATGAGGGGTAGTTATCCCCAAACCTGACTGTGCGCACACTCAACAGGGACAGAGTGTGCTCTGACCATTGTTTGCAGAAACCGCTCATCAACTTCAAACTTCTATGAAGCTATTTGGCTCCAAGGTGACACGTTTGGCAGCAGAATGTCGGAATCAAGCCAGCTTTCCCTGGAGTGGTCTCTAATCCAGTTCCTGAGCCAGAGGCGTCCGCAGTATTCCAGGGCAATGCTGATGACAGCACAGGCTCATTGGCAGGACGCGGAAGGGCAGACCAGTCGCTGGGGCCAGAGATTCTTCCCACTCAGCTCCTGTTAAGCAAGCAAGCAAGCCGAAATCCCAACAGGAAGGGTGGTCTTAAACTGGACGAGCAGTGGGAAGCTTGCCAGGCAGTGATTGCAAAGGCCAGCTACGCATTTTTTATCTGATTAAACCCCTGGCAGTTAGACTAACGCACACTTCTACCAAATACTCCCCGGAATTCGGTAAGCAGGGTGCATCCCTCCAGAGAGAGAGAGAGAGTACATATTTCATTCCAGACACTCCTTCTCATCCGAAGGACAGCACTTGCAACAAAGCCAAACCCCCTTCCTGTTCGGAGCTGCCTGTAAGTATCGCAGGGTGAAAGATGCAGGTTCTTCGTTTCCTCATCGCCCTGTGATGCCTTCAGACCGCACTCCCTTCAAGCCACAAGCACGATTTTAACACTGAACCTGCATCCCACAATTGTCCCTTTAAAACACTGCAACTTGCTCAGAGAGAGAGAGAGAGAGAGAGAGAGCAATAGAGAGAACGCGGGAACAGGAGGACTGAATACTGGTATCCGCATCAGGAATTTCTTCAGATTTGTGTCACCCACTTTCAAGACCGCTAACCTGCCTCCCCCAGAGTGCCTGAGCCAGAGTAACGGACTCCTGATAGATTTAAAGNAAAAATAAAGTCCCCAGCTACTAATTAAATTGTCAGGCCATTGAATGGTTTGGGGCTATGCTATGAGAACGTGAATTGACTGTTCAGCCCTTCTCTCCCAGTCTTTGCAGATGTTAAATACACTGTGAATATATCAGGGCCCATTTATCGCAGGTGCGTGGAACAGAGCAAATCTTTCTTGTCAACGGTAGTGTTCGTTTCCCCCCCACCCCCTCATCCCCACTCCCAATACCACTTCCTCTTCCCCACCTCCTGGTCTTCTGCTGTTAGCCTTTAATTCAGGAAAGATTGTGGGTTCCAGCTTCCAGGAGGTTGTCTTGATCTGTACACGATCACATTTGCTGCTGCCTCCTCTCAGTCACAGAGCACCTGAAGCCGTGTGCGTGCTTGCATGTGTGTGTGTGTGTGTAGTATATATACAATAGCATCCTCTTGTATCTTTCAGCATCTTTGTCATCGGCCAGGCTTGTTAATGACTGCCCGGGCTGCCTTGTCTGCAAGTCACGTTCACTGTGGGCTCTGCCCGGGTTTGATGGGGTTAAGTTCACTGCGGAGGATGAGAGTAATAATGAAAAACAAATGGGCGACATTTAGTATCATTAAACAACTGCTCGCATCCAGTGTCTGGAGCTGTCCATCACCTCGGTGGATTATTAGCATTTCTGTCAGTTGTTTGGTTACGTTATCTGTCCTCGCGGAGATGAAAGCCCCCAGCTGACCACGCCACAGAGGCCCTGCACAGCCCCTCGGAGCATTCCCGCAGTCGGACAGTGATCAGATGTCTGCATTAGCTGTCATTATCCTTGATTAGATTTGCCCTTTGCCCTCCGAGGGGTCAGTGAACAAATGCCCAGACTTTTTTCCCCTCCCAGCTCTGGGCACCTGAACTGTGCCTTTAGCTGCGCTGGATTGAGTGGAGGTGTTTGGTGCTGTGTGTGTGTGTGTGTGTGCGCTGCAGATCTGATTCCTCACTGAAAAGCAAGTGTAAAAGCGAAGCTTCCCTCATCCTTAGTGCGTGTTCTCCTTTCCCCCCACCCGTGTCTGCATTCCGTGCATCACATCAGCCACGGTGCAGGTTTGAGCTAATCAGAGAAGTGAGGATCTCCCCACCACTCGACTCACGACCCACGTCCACCGCTTGCCAGATGCGCTAGGCATCAGAGGTCCTCCCACTTCTGCCTCTCACACTGACAGCTCTGCGACTGACATGTCAGCCAAGACTTGGCAGCACATTACCCAGGGAGGATAAACAAGCTCTAAGGCTCAGATCCGCACTCACATTCTGCAGCAAAGGAAGTCAACAGTCATATTATAACCCGCACATCGTACGAGAGATTCCGGTGAAGAAGGTTCTTCTGTCTTACTTGATCACAGTCCCTCTTTCCATCCAGCTGTCTCTTAAATGATTTCAACCAACCTTCCTTCTTGATAATAACAATAATAATTCTTGCCTTTGCCCCAAAGCAATTTCACAATGGGATAAGTGACTGTGTATTTGTAGGAGAATCAGGCAGCCAATTTGTGGTAAATGAATAGATTGGACTTTTTTGAGATGCAATGAGCCGAATGGCCTTCTTCTGCGCTGTATATATCTGTGGTTCTCCACTGCATTGTCCCGTCTCTAGAGTGTCTTCCTTAATTTCTTATCCTCACTTTACCTCGAAATTCTTCGCCTTCGTTTAAAAAAAAACCCTGCAGCTTCGCTGGTCCTTAGGGCTAATCTGGAAGTGGCTGATGTGCCCTCTGCCTGTTTGTAGGCATTGCAACATTCCTTAATGGCTGATACCGCTAGTTTGCGCAGTCCTTTTAAAAAGCTGTAGTGTTTAGCCTGGTTATTTATTTAAGGAATACCAGAATCGTGGAGTTGTGCATCACTTTCTACAGAACAAAGTACGCTTCTGACTAAAAGATTTTTCCCGCTGTCACTCTCCAAGGCCAGATGTGTGATCTGCCTCTGAAAAGGTGACAGGCTATTCATTAAGGGAACAGAAGCCTTGTTTGCGTTTGGCTCTCGGAAGCAGATTTAACAACAAATCGTCCCGAGGAGCTTCTCTTGTGTCTCCCTCCCAGCTAATCGTAATGTTTAGACCTTTTGGGGGGAAAAATAAGAAAAGTAAAGGTTGGAAACATTCACTGCTCTTCTCTCAAAGGCCTTAACGGTGGATGAGTCATCAGTAGGAGAGAGAGGGAGAGAGAGAGAGCACAGTGCAGGTTATGAAGTGATAAAATAACACAAGATCCCATTGTTCAGCGCTACGCTCTAACTGTGAATGAGCTGTGCAGCCGGGGACAGGTCCTATGTTTTCCTGGCATGCGCGTCCATCCGCACTCCGCAGTTCCTCGCACTGATTGGCGGCTGTGTTGAGGGATGTCCACTGGACCCCAGGTAGAAGCTTCGAGCTTCGAGCTGCTGGTGCCTCGTTAGCAATTAACAAACGGGACTTTTGTTTCATTCTCGAAACACAATGAACTAAGATGGCTTGACCAGAGTGACCTCAAAGCGCCAGGTCACGAGATATGAAACTTTTCCCTCGTCTTTTGTCCCGCACCAACAATCCTCCAAGTAAAATGGCTGACGGACTTCGTGGCTGTCAAATTAGCTGCACTGTTCACCTACAGATACACAGTCACTACACTTTGCAGTGAATCCAATGAAGTGCTTTGAGCCAATGTGATGTGATAGGACGCTATATCAAAAGCAAGATTTGTTATAATTATTATTTAAAATGGAAACTCTTTCTCCCCCCCCCCCACCCACACAGTATGTATTGTTGCCCATTTGTCTGCTGTATTCTAGGGCTGCCGCAATTTGCCCACGACATATACAGTCACTCCACTTTACAGTATATTCTGTGAAGCGCTTTGAGACGTCCCGAAGATGTGATGAGGTGCTGTATTAAATGCAAGGATTGTTATTATTATTACTGAGGCCGGTTGGTGCAGGAGAGAACAAAGGTAAAGGGGCAAGGAACAAGACTGACTCATGATCAATCCCGTGCGGCCAGGACTGAACTGGCCTGGCCACGATTGGAGCGCGTCTCTTGGGCCGGGGCGAGCCGCAGGATAATTGCACGCTGATCTTGACCACTCCAGCGGGACCGACTAATGAAGGATAAGAGAAACACAATCTCCCTCCCGACTGCCTGTTAGAAAACTTTAATAATTAATTAGTGCAATGCTATTGCACCCCAGGGTCAGGGATCAAGGAGGAATCTTCAGGAGGGTTTTTATGTGTAACAGTGAGTAGCCATGTAAAGGGAGGAAAATAATCTCAGCTCAGCTAGTTTTACAAAGTGATCCGAGGATAGAGAAACAAATAGCGAGCTGACGTTTCAGTCACCAAATGTCCCAACAAAAATCCTGCCGTAGATGTGGAGGGTGATCAGATAACAGATTTACCATTAATACTCAAGGATGAGTGAGGTCATTATTATTATCATCATCATCATACCCGCACTGTGATGTAGAGTGAGCATGTGTGTATGGGGAGAAAAGATGGGTTATTGCAGGTAAGCTCCTCAAGTCCTACCAACCTGGTCGCTCCCTTCGCTCAGCTGGCTGCTCAGTCCCCTGCCCTCTCAGCCACAACGTTGGCGGGAGGATTTCAGCCTAACTGCCCCCACTCTCTGGAACTCTCCGGTCCCTCTCGTCTCAAGACTCATCTTTTCGATCGCAGTTTCAGTCATCATTCCTCTCCCCACTCTCTCCGTCCCACTCCCAGCTCTGATACCCAGCGAGGATCGTTCAGCCTTTCGGACATCCTCCCGCAGTGAGAGGCGGTGCTGATTTTATACTGATTTGCAAATCCCAGTAGAGACTGAGTGTATTACATGCTCACTGAGTGTCATTGATCTGCAGACTATCTTTATGTGTCGGGCTATGTCATGAGTATATATTAATTACACAAGTGGATAAATGCTGAAAGTGTAAGCTTAAGTTTTAGATCACATGTGCAGTGTTTGATGTGAGTTAAGCCATAACATGACTTGACTCTTTCAAAGGAGATTTTTTGCGTTATGTGTCCTTGTACAATCTACTCCTGGAGGGCGAGATAACAACGCATGTGCTACATGACCAACAGCCAACTCTCCCCCATTCAACATTCTGTCTGCCCTGCACTGCACTCAGCTGTTTATGGCTTCCACTCACTTCCTGAGAACTGAATGATTATTGGCAAACAGGTTATTCAGTGAACAGGAAACAACTGTTTCTTGTTACGTTGACATGAACAGACACAATCTCCCTCCTCCAGATTTCTTCTGGTCTCCAGCACAAAACGGTTCATCCCACACCATGTTGTTAGGAAAGACAAATTACAATTGCTGGTATGCCAGCACCCTGCCCTGCTCTGCTTTTATAAAGACCAGGTTACAAGAGTATTGACTCCTATCAGATGTTGAGGATAATATTGGACAGATGGAATTTGTTTCGCAAGCATTTCCTTCATGATTGTGATTACCCTTTGGAATGGACATTAAGTGTACAATCAGTGGAAGCACATCTGAAGCAGAGCAACCTAACGTGGCCCTACTGTGAGTTCCTGATCTGCCGTTGGTTGTTGATGATATTGCACGGATGACAGAACATAGACGTTCATTTGAAACACATCGTTGGGAGCCTGACACCTCCCTCCCAACCTGACATAATAATAATAACCATCTTTGCATTTGATATAACACCTTATCACGTCTTTGAGACATCTCAAAACGCTTCACAGGATATTGTAAAGTGAACTGAGCGTATATTTCATGGGCAAAACACGGCGGCCAATTGCACACAGCAGCGTGGATTGAGCGACCAAATTTTTGTTATTATTATAAGATACAACTTCTGTATAATTGCTTTCTTCTCCTTCCAGTGATTTCCCCTGGCAGCCCGGGACCCATCACACGTCATGAGTCGTATGACAGCCTGACCTCCGACCACAGCAGCCAAGAAGATGAGGAGTGGCTGTCCCAGGTAAGGCTTGAGGCGAGAGCTCCTTTGTGATTGTCTTCCTGTTACTGGCTGATGAAGTGGAGTCTCGAGCTCGGCTTTCCTTCCTCGGCGGTTCCTGTAGAGAGCTTGGATCGCCGGGGAGCAGTGCTGTACCTCAGTCTTCCTTTAATTGACTTACGCAACAAAAAAAGAAGACCCGTCCGAAATTTGACCGCACTTTTAATCATCTTTCCCCTTCCCACCCTCTTTGCTCTGCAACCCCAGCTTGGGTGCCCAGCCGGCAACGTCAAGAGCTTTGAGACATCCTCCCTGCGTAAAAAGGCGCTGTGTAAATGTAAACACAAACGAATTATGGTGCTTTGTTGGATTTTGCAGGCACAACTGGTTGCCTCACAACGACAGTCACTGGGGCCTTGATAGTATTTACCTACAAAGCTCTTTGAGAGAAGTTGACTTGATGAGCACTGCCAAAGAAACACAAGCGCCTTCTTTTCCAGCTTCGGTTTATTCTCGCCGTCCTGTTCTGTCTGAGGTTTATTCTGATGGAAAGCGTGTGTGTGTGTGTGTGTGTGTGAGTGCAGCAAGATTTATCTCGTCTCGCTCCTGATTGACAAAGTCCAGTGCTGGCAGGTACCTTCTCCAGCCTTGTGTAACCCACACAAAAGAGTTCAAGATGCTCCTACACGCCACTTCTATTACCTTGTCATCTCCACCGCGCTGGGTTCATTCTGCATATCTGGGAGGGAGGGGGAGAGGTAAGGGGAAGAGGTCACTTGTCTTTCAGTCACTTGAGGGGGCTCCCCAAGGGGTAGCTGCCCCAGACAGGTTCTGATACAAGAAAAGGTGAGACGAACGTTATGGAATGTGCGCTACGAGCAGCTGTTGCTGAGATCTCTTTTCAGTACAATGCGCGGTGCAGTCAGAACCCAAGGTAGGCACAACATAACTGGAACAGCCGGGTCAGCAGTAACAGCTGGCCGTAGCCTCCGTCAAAACTGCACCAGCATCTGTTCGTCTCTTAGTTCTACAACACTGTTGGTGTCGGTGTTTAATCTGCAAAGCTGCTGTGTTTTTTTCTCTCTCTCACTCTCTCTCTCTCTCCCCGCTTTCGTTTCGAAAGCAATGATCGCCACTGATACAGAAAATATAGAAGGAGCGCATTCAACCCGCTGCCTCCTAAAGGTGCCTGGCACAATCCTGCTTATCCCCTTACAGCGATCTCTCTTCACCTGCTCCTGCCCTGACTGGCACTCTGCCGTTTGACCCCAGTGGACGCGAGCGATGCGCGGGTGGGGTGGGGGGGATATGCTGTCTTCTTCCCCACTTCCATTTCAGTGCTTGCCGCTTTGGTGAGCATGGCAGTCCGGTGCAAAGGGGGATGGAGGTGCAGTATAGACGCCAAAGCGCTCTGGGACACCAGAGCAAAACACCCGCATGAAGGGCCCTGTATGAATGCAAGCTGTTGTTGTTGTCCCCGACGTACAAGACTGACCGTTACTTCCAACTAATTATCGGCGTTCTCTTCATCCTCCTTGTTGTTTTAAAGAGTCTAAATGGCGCTGTAATATGTGTATTAATTGCATTACACATAGAATAATAGACACCTGGGAGTGATTATAGGCCAGTAATTTAATCAAGGGGTTCAGATGGTTTATATACAGAACCAGGATACCTGGAATTCATTAGTCACTGTAATCTAATAAGGGGTTCAGAATATGCCATCAGTGGCGCGAGCAAAAGCTTAAACTGTCTTCGTGTCACCTGAACCCCGACAAGATTACAGCAGTCTGGTGAGCACTCAAAGGGGTCAATTCTTTTATAGCGTCTCTCACCAACTGTCGTGGGTGGTTCAAGAGAGAGAAGAGAGAAGAATTTATGTTTTTATAGTGTCTTATGTAACAACATGGCTTTGGAGCGCGTATACAACAACAACATTACATTTTTAAAGCGACAAAGAGCTCCACAGTAAACACTGTCAAGTGTAGTACTGCTTTTTTTTATATAGCAAATCTTTGCTGATCTTTGCATGGCAGTTCATTACCAGGGAATAATTCAAGAAATCAGAACTACTGTACTTGGATGTTGTCACAGCAAAATGTCTGAAGGTCCTCAGTTACTTGTACTCTTAATAATAATGACAATAGTCTGGGTTTGGAAAAAAAAATCTCATCACCTCGTCGACTGTCTCACAGCGCTTCACAGCATTTACTGTAAAGTGTAGCGACTGCGTGTTTATAGGCAAACCTCACACAGGGCTCGGTCTCTCTTATAGCGAAGTATAACCCATCAAATACAGGATATAATGATTGTAATAATAATCCTCTCATTTGGTGTAATGTCTCACACGGAGGGAGGGTGTCTCAAAGGTCCAGTTTGAACAGGCAGGAAGGCCCTCGGTTTGACGTCTCATCCAAAGGATTAGTCAATGCAGCTCACACTAGAGCTGAACATACCCCTGGCTGGGTCACCTAGAGCAGACACCGATCCGTACACCTTCTTTATTATCTGCTGCTCCTGAGTCCAATGGCATCTGGTGGAAGAATTTTATGGGAGGACGAGGGGGGAATAGAGGTTTAGATATCTCTTTGATGTGCCGACATTATTATGGGGGTTCTTTCCTACAAGCCGGAAGTTTACGTTCCGTGACTGTACGCAGATTGTCTCGTGTCACATCTAACTCGACTCTGTTTGGTAAATGCAGGTCAATCTGACCAAGATATAATTCTTAATAAATTCCCTGAAGGGACCTTGCACATCTTCTGAATCAATCCCTGACCATCTGCTAGATTGTGTTGCATAAACTTTATTATTTTACATGAGACAACGTGTACTTTTAATTTCCTTTCCTTTCAACTTTTTGGGGGTGGATTTTGACCCCTGTCAAAGGTGAGAGATGTCAGTGCTGGGGAACAGGATACTTTCCTGCTTCTTTCCCGTCCAGCTATTACCTGGGTTGTAATCACAAAATGTCCTTGTTACCTAATCCGGGAGACTTGCAGGATGGCAAGACCCTTTGGCTAGCAGGGTTGTCTGAATCCCAGCCTATTAATTATAGGTAGGTAGGTGTGCTGATGCTCAGGTTCATCGCAATGTAAACCGTTCCTGAATGTTTTTCTATGCATGTCCTGCGACGGATGTTTAAAGCTGCGTTAAATCGTCATGGTGCTTTTTTCAGGTAGAGATTGTGACGCATACAGGACCCCATCGGCGTCTGTGGATGGGCCCTCAATTCCAGTTCAAGACAATCCATCCTTCAGGACAAACAACAGTGATTTCTTCCAGCTCCTCAGTCCTTCAGTCACACGGTCCCAGTGACACTCCACAGCCACTTATGGACTTCGACACCGACGACCTGGAACTCAATACTCGCAGGTAAAGAAAAGCGTCAAGACTGACGTCAAAGAGCACGGTGAACATTGTCATTTTTTTATACGCTTTTTAAGAATAATATCTCTTGCATTTGATACAGCGCCTTATCACATCTTCGAGACGTCTCAAAGCGCTTCGCAGGATACACTGTAAAGTGAATTGACCGTATATTTTGTAAGCAAAACGTGACAGATAATTGCGCACAGCAGTGTCCCACAGACAGTTGTGGATTGAGGGACCAAATCCTTATTATTTTTCTATTTTATTAAATCACTGTGGAAAGTCCACTCCGATTTGTCCCACTTTCCTCTCAAGTGGCAAGGATGTGCGTACCCAGCGCAAGAGTATTGTATGGGTTGCATACACCACAGAGATCTCTCTACATTGACCCCCAAAATGTTTTTCGTCTGCAGCAATTTGCACTTTCTCCTCCCCTCCGTCTATCCTCGTGTCCTGACTGTCACAGTAAGGAGAGCAAGTAATTCACACTTTGTGATTGTAGGATTCAGCCGGTTCGCTCAGAGCCTGTGAGCATGCCAGGATCATCGCGGGTCATTGCTGATCGGAGAGGACTTTCCACAGTGATCGACGCTGGCTCAGGTAGGAAATCAGGGGAGGGAGGAATCCATTTGCTGTATTGCACATGTAAACAACCTCAACGCCACTTTGATTTAGCAAGGATCGTTTTACACGCCAGGCTGTCATCCGATCGACGAGGATCTTCACAGGTTAGCAAAGAAGAGGAGAATCCTTTCCTGTGTAGCTCCAGCCTAACTGCCAGGTTCATCCGAGAGATGAAAGAGCGATAAGAGAAAATGGCACCAGGGACATTTTAATTTTGTTGAGTGTGAAGGCAATCTTCATTTATTTTTTGGTCCTTCATTGGGATAGGCTAGTTGTGGTTTTTAAAAGTGAGGTTATCTTGAAGCACGGCCTGCGATTGAAGGGACGTAAATTCATAACAAATCTGTGCCATCAACCAATTCGGTGAGCGAGTAGTAAACTTCTGGAACAGGCTCCCCAGGGAGACAGTGGACGCAGGAAGTGTTGTTTGTTTCAAGAACAAATTAGATCGATTTCTGCTAGAAAATAATATCTGGGGATACAGCATAGAGTTTGGGGGCACGACATGTCAAGCGACTGCCAGTGGCAGGCGAACTAGATGGACCTCGGTCTTCTTTGGCCTAGCAAATTCTTATTTTCTTAAGCGCAGTCTTGGCTGAGCAGGCTGGGACGATTCACCGAGCCTCTGGCGATATCGCTGACGGCACGGAGTTCACCAACTCGGTTCGTACCTGAGCAAAACGTTTCTTTCCCAGGCTTCTGAAAAAATTATTTGTACATCATTATCTATTTCATCGTGGGATTGGACCCAGACACACAAACTTCAGATCCCTGTTTTAGCAACAGAAATAGAACTGGTGAGTCAGGTTCTTAAACCCTTGTACGGCTTGTGGTCACTCAGTGTTTCCTCGTAAACCGCCAGTTCCTGTTATGAATGTGTACTGCACCTCAACAACAATGCCGCTCTCGGGAGCCACACCCAGCCCAGGGCCATCGGTCATGTTTTTTTGTGGCTCGCAGTTGTTTTGGGAGTTGGTGGCATCCCTTTAACAGTCAATTAAAGGGCCAGTGACTTGCTATGCGGAATTCTGAAACAAGTTCCAATTCAACCTGTCGTATTGTCACTATTTTGGATTTCCAGTGGGTGGTGGGCTGGGGGGTGGGGTGGGGTGGGGTCAGCAACTGTAGGGAAAGCTGTCTGGGAAGCGATACAGTGAGTCAGCCAAGTTCCCAGACACCAGGGAGCGAGCATTGGATTAGATATATCAGCACGTATTCAGGGATCTGTCTGGGGGTGAAAGACTACTTTCATCGAGGGAAAGGTTACTGAAATGGAAATCGCCTTTCATACAGTGTTTGAGATGTTCCCAACTCTCGTCCTCACATCCTTCACAAACAACTGCACGTTGTCAGTGCCATGTCGTACTCTTCAAGTAATCTCCCTGTTAGCAGTCTGCCTAGGAGAGACATCGACCTAGGCGAAAGATGCTATGCTATGTAAGCGCAGTTGTTGTTTCTCCCTTTACAGTTCCTATTTTTGCCCCTGCTTCGCTCCGGGTGAGGAGATTGTAGATGTGACATTTAGCCACGAGATCTCCTTCTGCGCTGAAAGTTTCCGTGTGAATCTTGCTTTCTGCATCAAAGTATATTTTATTTTTTTAAACAAAAAAAAAAGCAGACGTATACCGTGAACCTGCTGGTTTTGTTGTGTCCATTTGGCTATTGATGCTGTTTAAACCGGAAGCAGCGACGTGATCATCGGGGTGCTATCCTGAAAGAGTTGCATAAGCCGACAGCGTGATGGAATTAACATAAGAAGAATCGTCACTAACCTATGTGTGCTTCAGCAACCACCGAGTATGTTAATGCAACTCCCTCGCACTGTCCTGGCGAGAGCAGTAACTTCCCCAGTAAATTGTCCCCGATCATATCTCAAGTAAATGAGGCATAAGGAAAACTAATCAAAAAGCCTATATGGCTGCTTAATCCTTAAAAATGGCCGGCACTCTCTTTAATATTAATAATTATTCAGTCTCTCTGGTTCTCAAACCTTGGCATTCCATCTACTGCCCTGTAACCGCTTTTTATAGCCTAACCTGAGACCTGATGACTGCCTAGCTGGCTTCCAGAGATGTATTTTATGCTTTGCATCATGATTTTTACAAAGCGTAAATAGCAAAACTAATTTGTAAATCTCTGTGCCATGGCCCGTTGAGCCATCCGTTCAGCCAGTCAGCCCCAAGCCAAACAGAAAACATTGAATAAAAGGCGGTTTTACACAAAAGCAATTAGATGTTTAAATTGGGCTGCAGTCTCTTGGGGAGACTTGGCGGAAGACTTCAGTATATTTATTGTGCTGAGGATTAAAATCTAGATAGTCGGGAAGCGTTTTGTGCTTGAATCAGGAATGACATACAATAGGAATGAATGAGACGCGGTGTGGTACGTTAGGGCTTGTGCTTTGATGGCGAGTGTGTGTGTCCACGCTGTGTGTAACTGCAAGGAGTTCAGTGTAGCCTTGCCTGGGCTGCGTTATATAGCTTAGGCTGTGTTCCCTAGTTTACGTTGACCCTCCAGCGCAGTGCTAGGGGTATGCTGCATAGTCGGAGGTACCGTCCTTCAGATGAGGCATTAAAACCAAGGTCCCTTCTGCCTGTTCGGGAGGACGTTAAAGATTCCACGATGCGTTTGGAAAAGAGAAGGGAGTTTCTCTCATCCGGTGTCCTGACCGGCAATCCCCCAGATAAAATTGGCCGTTCACTTCATGGCTGTTTCGTGGGTCATTGCTACGTGCAAATTGGCTGCCACATTCACCTATAAATGCTACAGGGGCTAGAGCGAGGAGGGATTTATATGTGAGGTTGATGATCTTGAAATCGAGCCTTTCAGAGACAGGAAGCGAGCGGAGCCTGGTAAGGATTAGGGCGATGAGCGTGCAGAGTTTGGTACAGGTGAGGATGTGGGCTGCGGAGTTTTGGATGAAACGGGGTTCAGGGGGATTAATGCCAGGATGTGTACTGTGAAAGAATCATGTGGGACTTGGGCTGAAATAATTACGAGGTTACGGAGGAGTTTGAAACCTGGATTCCTCCTGCTTCTGTTAGACCACGTCTGCCTTTTCTATCCGACAGTGTAACCAGCAGCAGCACAGTACGCAAAGCCTGAACTGCATGCTGATACCACTGTCCACGTCAAGTAAATAACTCAACTCCTCTCCCATCGTTTAATGACAAACCAGCAGTCGTGTCAAACCAGCTCATTGTAAACCGGACTGTGTTAGCAAATCCCGGTGCAGTTTTGTTCAGTTCTCAATGCTAGTCTTTATAATATGTGATTCACTTGTCACTGTTGATAATAAACCACTTCACGCAAATTCAGCACCCAGCTTCAACCTTCTCAGCGGTAAAGATTGTAAGTTTAACGGGACAGGCTCGGAGGGATTTATATGTGGTCGTCTTTGGCTGTGAAAGGGATCATAAGCGTGGTCGATGAGTTAGGTCTCAAGGTGGATTTAAAAGATGGTTATGAGGGGGTGAGACAGAGGGATTGTGCGTTTTTGATGGGAACAATCTAATATAATGCCACGTACATTTGGTATATTTCTCGTTAATGCCAGTCCTGTGATCCCATGCTTTCAGGTTCAATTCCGTTCCAAACATGCCACCTTGGAGCCAGCCCAGTATCAAGGTTACAGCCTCCCCCACCACCTCCACCCCAAGGATAGCCCATTGCTAGCAGTAATAAGGCTAGATTCTGTAATGTAAAGACTAGCACCTCTAGGAGTGAGCACAAGGCAGTAGTTAGTTATTATGATTGCGCAAATGTTCACAAACCGGAAAGTGTAATCGCTCGTTTTATTTATTGGAATTGAATTGCTGCCCATTGGTGTTCTAATCTAAAAATCCATAAGCAATCAGTAACAAAAATAGGTGCTTGTTACATTCAGTGCACCCTTTGCCAATATTTTGAGTCTGTTCTTTTGATCAATGATGGGGACAATACTTTCCTATGTAAAGAGCAGATTTATCACCTTCCATTAAACCTCACTGAGGCCAACAACCTTTAACTAATTCTGGACCAAGCGTCCAAAGGCATAACTTGTCCATGAGAGGAACCACTTAAAAGCTCCAGTATTGATATCGTTTGAAAAGTCCTGGTAAATGCTCTTGGTTCTCTGCCAAGCAGCACATTCGCTTCCTGTTCCTTTAATGTGTGTATTTTACATGGCAAAATAGCAGACAAATGTGCCAGAGGTTTTATAACAGTCTCTCATTGAAACCATCGAATTCTGTTTCTCCTTTGAATGCTATGTTGCTCAACCAGAGAAGGCGTTCTAAGCATTCTGTGCCGAACAGTTGTGTTTTATATCAAAATAGATCAGCGTGGGCTTTAAAAATGCTCAGACGCACTTTTGAAATGTTTGTCTTTCTATAACTTTGTTTCCTTGAAAAATATTCTACATGTGATTACCTGCTACTCTTGAGAAATATTTCTATATACCTCTTGTTGTCTGTCTAAATATTATGCCCAGTTTGTTAGCTCCAAGATGTACCACGACAGTAGAACAAGAGGACACAGGTTTAGAGCTGTAAAGGGCACCTCAAAACAGATACCAGGAAGTTTTTCTTTACCCAGAAGGTAATCCACGAGTGGAACAGGTTGCCAGGAAGGGTGGCTGAGGCCAGGACCTTGAAAGTGTTTTGGAGGTTATGAGGTCAGATGGACCCAAGGGCCTTCTTCATCCAAATTGATCTTGTGATCTTGTGAGTCTGCTCTCTGGGACAGTGTTCGGTTCAAGTCCTCGTCTAGGCAAAGATGAAATGAGACATTTAGAAGATTGAGAGGTGAAGAATCTTCAGTTTCTCTCTTGTTTTTTTCCTGCGTTGTGTCTGTTGGGTTTCCTCACACAGCAGCCACTGCAGGTATGATTTCAGGCTCCTCTGGGATCCGCAGTATAAATCTCTCTGCCCTTCCATACCATGTTCCTCACTCTTCTTTCATTCTATACTGTGTTGCGCTCTGGGACGCTACCCTGA